GTATATTTATTAGTTATACATTCTGTATATACCACTATACATTAAGTATAATATAGTATACTTTACATATTTACTATACATATATATTAAAAACTCATACAATAAATGTGTTAAATATTATGTATTCTGTGTACATTAATAGTAGCAGATTTTAGAGGTTACATATTCAACCGTTTTGACCCGAGTTGTAAATTTTTGACCCGATTGAACCGTTTTGACACGGGTGACGATTTACTATAACCCGGTTTTAAACTCTACTTGTGGCCACATCCAGTGCAGAACTAAGCACAGTTCTAAATGTTAAACTAACTCTTCGGCTTCGAATAATTTCTTGTTTCTCTCCATTTTCATCTTCAAACCATTCTATAATGTCTTTTGATATGGAATGCTTGTAATCATATCTTGAAGATTTTGTCATGATTAACAAAGATCTTGGCGCTAAAGAAGTTAAAATATTTATAGTTAAACTTATAGTTAATTCATCATAACCTCAATTACGAATAATTATTAGATCAAATATATACGTAATACTATTAAAAATTGTTTTTCAGAATAATTAGAATGTGTAAACTTCATCAAACATGAAGATAATAATGAAAGGCCCAAAATTATCGGCCCAAATGTAGCCGCAGCGTCAGTGTGTGGCATTATTCCTATAATGCATCGAAAATTATTCACCAATGAATACATACTTTATGATTTTAAATGCGTCAAATTGCTTCCAAATCATACCTTGCCCAGCTTCATATTCATTAATAATACATGTATTTGGTTCATCTTCGAAATCAATTATTTTTTGTTGTTTAAATCGTTTGACGATGAAATCGGTAAAGGTTGGTAATGGTCCTAAATTTTGCATTATTTTCCTATAATTGAATAATTCGATGAAAACTGGACGTAATAAATAATTTATATATATATTGAGCTGTTACCTATATCTATAACTAAATACATAGCCATAGTGTTGTGTGCGTCTTTTCATTTCAGGATTTGGACTTTCGAAGTTAAAAAAAAAAAATTAGTCTCGACTATTTAAATAGTATCACTTAAAAATTGAAAAGATTTTCTACACACGCAACACCATTACCACACCAACTTTCTGAATCAATGGCTTGTATTAATTCTTGTTCTTCAGTTTCTGTAATAAAATCTTCAATTAAATATAATCCTTCTA